CACCTGCGGATTCGAAAGTTGCAACAACCACCACCTACACGCCTCTCCCAGGATCACCCACGAACAAACGCGACAAACTCGGATTTTTTCGACTCAWAGCGCTTTGTGGATTTATCAGRGTSTTCRTGATACATTTTYATAGGATTTCTAGGTACCCCCTTTTTAGGTTCGACCATCTAGGATAATCTAACAAAAATAAAATAAAATTAGTACAATTTTGTGACGCTACAAACTTTCAAATAAGTCAAGGAAAGGCTTAAGATCACATAAAAAAAAAATTAATTCATTCATTATTTACCGWAATTTTGGACTAACGTAGCCCAGAGAATTCCATTGGCTACCATATACTGTAGTTTAATCACCCCGAAACTATTCTAGTTAAGATCACTAAAACCATCTCTGAGCTTTTGTTATGTTGCCTAATTAATCACTAACGTTATCTTCTCAAATAATTTTTTTGTAACATGCCACTCCATTTCCCACTGGACAGCTTTTTATTATAATCTGCCCTTGCCTCTATTTTAGTCAAGTATACCCTCATATATGTATACCTCTTTTTAGTTCTGGCCGGAAAATGTTTTAAGTTTTGTTTATTCCACTTCCATCTAAATTTTTTCTACCCTGATCTATACTATATTGAGCAACATATTCTTGAGCGTTTTTCTTCAACTCTTTCCTGTTTTTTTTTTTACTCATCCGTTTCGGTAAATGATTTTGTGCCTTCAATGGAACACTGATTATACTATAAACTGGCCTTAACTGACAATGACTCTACGGTTTCTGCCACCGTTGGGGTAATCGCCAACGAGTGTCTGTCACTGTGCCATATTCATTTGTGTGGCGATTTTGAATGGCAAAGGGAATAAGTATCATAAGAAACAGAAATTTCCGTTTGTATACAGAACTTGGTGTTATGTTTTCTTATTTGTGGAAGACAAAACCATGAATGAGTGTACGGTGTATATGCCCTATGTATCATACGGCCATGTAGGAAATAGACCACATACTCTTGCTGAATCTGCTAAGGTGGAACTAAACTCGCACTGCACCAAATCTATTTTCGTAACTTGCAGAAATATGGAGGTCATGAAATTATGTAGTACTAAGGATATCGGATTAGTGGATTTGAGTAATTTGCAATTTTGGATTTGAGTAACCTCWAGTTAAGGAAAAGTTTCCATACAATTCAAAATCGTTAAGGTTTTGCCAGAGGAATCTAATGCAAAAGTACCATATATCGACAAAGAAGCGTCCAAWCTTGCGCTTTAAATACAATTGGAATTGTTCCGCAGAAGAAATCTATCTTCAGAAATCACAAACATTTCCTGCAGGGCTTTTTCTTCTTTCAGTAAACACTACGTCAAATTATAATGAAGTTAAGACATAATAATTTATAAATCAATGCTAGCACCGCTAACCACTGTATATTTCGGTTAATATTTACATTACAGGTCATCTACTGACAAAACTCAACGGAAATGAGTGATATACTATTCACAATTTGAATTTGATATTTAGCTAGCTGCTTCCAATGCAATCTGCTACTTCCTAGTCTTTTTTTTTAGTTCTTTAACTAAATTTAGTTCAAAGTGGTCATTGTGTCCGTTAATCAAGTAACAAAAGCGACATGTACGTTTATATCCAAATTAATGGAAGCTGACAAATTGATATGAGCTTATAGTTCAGCATTTAGTTTCTTTGACTCCTAAAAGCTTAGACTTCAAATCCGAAGCTTGCCCAAACTTCTATTCAAAATAAATCAAACAGCTCATTGGAAACCCCGTTACCTTACTCAAAGCCCGGCAAAAATCATGCTGATTTCGAACTATGACCGGTCAAAACTTTATGGGCCTTCTTCGACAACTCMTATTTTAGTAAGACTTCAAGCATTCCAGTTCTCCTCCACACTGATAAAGCAAAGGTGAAGTCATTGTTAGCGGTTCCCTAGTACTCATCGTTACTAAAAGAAGACACATTGTCGTTTAGCGAAATGTCAAGTGGGTAGAGAATTCGATTACCTATATTCTGGTTTAAACATACTGGAACTATAACTTGTTTTTTTTTTCTTCTAAATGTTAAGATGATCAATTTGTAGTTCGTTCTCAATGCACAAATAATGGGTGATCCTTTTCGAGGCTACCTATTTTTTTTTAAAGAAAGAACACAGAAACTAAAAATTTAATGAGGAATGCTTATTATCATTCGAAAGACCATTTTGGGCCATTTATTTTTTGAAGACTACACACCAATTTCGATAACTCGTTCAATAAATCAATTGATTGATGCTATATGTGGGAAATGGCGCCGTTTTGTTWAAACCAAAAGCGGCCGAGATCACCGGCATAATTTCTGAAGAAATATGAGCCGATGATTCCACCGACCCACGAACAACACCAAACCGTTCTTTTTTCTGGATGAAATGACAGATCTTGAATTTCTTCAAGTTGCTCTTCATCTCAAATGGTGCAATTTCGACAACGTTGGATGTTCTTGAAATTTTTCAAGAGCCCATAGAGCGAAGGGATGTCGCTTGGGAAGGTCAAACTGTATTTTATATACTTTCAATTTAAGATTTTGACGTAAAATGCGTCTAGTCSTTCCATACATCAGTGCGAGTTGCTGCGAACGACGCCGAATCTCTCCACGGTCTTCGTGTACACTCTCTGGAATTGAATTGAACTTTCGAATTGAGTTGAACGATTTTAAAAAGGTTTTTAAGGCGTAAGGCTATCCATGATGCCAAACTGAACAAAAATAAGATGACAGCTTGACATGACTCACACATGATCTGTCAAAAAAACGCTATTGAAGAAAGTACCTCTACTCGGATTACCCRTAAATTACTTTCGCCAAGATTCTGGAGCTTTTATTAACATTACCAGCCATAACGAACAAACTCGTATTCGTTGCTTAGTATTGGTCCAAAACTAGAACACCGAAGTTACACCGAAGCTATTATGGCCTGACCATTTTATATATAMATTTTTTAGGGCCTTCGACATTTCTGTTTAGGTGTTACAAACTTCGTGGCTAAMTAAATACACCCTGTTTAGGGCTGAATATATATGATTGAATATATACATATTAAACAGTTATCCTAAACTAAAGTATTATGTTAAAGCCTTTGCCAAAATATAGACCGAAGGCAGTTTATCAGCCTGTTCTTATTTGATTATACTTTAGAGGTACGAAAGTTGGTTTTAGTAAACTTCACTTTTACATTATGGCAATTTAGTATCAGATCGAGCCGCACTCCACTCGAGAATCCTCGCTTTCATAATCTTGAATTCATTAGTTTTTTTTCTCACATTTCCCCCTATTTTTCAATTATTTACTCGACTCTACGACTCTTTTTATGCCAACTTTGTGCTCACTCGCGGCAATGGCTATTGTTCCGACTCCTTAGGCTTTGACACGTTCCAGGCGACCAACAATCACGCTTCGCTGGGCTTGAATGACAGAGAACCTCCAACAGCTTTTTAGAAAACGCAAATTGGCGGAAAGCATTGTTACAATTACAAATTTGCTCAATAAGGAAAAAAAAAAAATCGATGAAAATATAATACATATGTGTATGTGTAGATGTGTACTGAGAAAATAGGTCTTAGAGTGTTTTGAACGCGAGCCAGCATTCAAAGCAGGCAATCAAGTAATTTATTGTGTGTTGACAAGTTACAGCAGAGCAACTTATGCATGTTCTAAAAACAATTTATTTACAGCTTAGTGTGATTGTTCTGCCTACATTTGCTAATTTTTCTCAAAAACCACCATATTTTGCAATTACTCTCCGTATTTCTATTACTTACATTTATTATCGTTACAGCAATCGCAACCAGGTGGCATCACCATACCGGCAACAGGTAGCGGCATTGAATCCGGCATACGTGGCGACTCACCGGCCATGAAGCGCCCGAAACTGGATGCCAGCGGCACAAATGATGATGACTCCATCGATGTGGCTGCCACATCGGGCACCTCGAGTCCGAGCACCAGCGCTGCCACAGCAACGGGCGGCAATATGGAACCATTTGTGCCCGGCGCCACCACCGTTATGCACCACGACGACTCCGATAACGAGGCGCTGATCGTGGACTGCGAGAGTCCGTTGCATGGTGCCGAATCGCCCAGTGAGTACCGAATCATAATTTGCTTATTTTTACTGGCATTCCATAAATTTTACAAGAATTTACAACAAAAAACAACACAAACAAATAATCTTACAAATGRCAACCATTATTATACATACTTACATATATAAAAGTCTTATAGGCCACTGTTTGGCGTTTGTCGTCGGATTTGCACAAGAATGCCAACAGCTTGTGGCAAGTTTTTCTTCAACGAGGTTTTTATTTGATTTTTTTTATAATATTCTAGCGCTCAGCGTCGTTTTGCTGCAGGCTCGCAGTCGTTTTACCTGCTTGCAACAGTGGCCACACAAAAAAATTCAAATGAATTCAATGCTTTTAAGATTTATTTCAGTTAGTGGGTCTGTGGGTTGCCACCGCAACTTGCTACTTACAAGCATTATACTCACATTGTTGCTATTGTATTTCGATTACCTATTTTTGTTGTTGCTGTGATGTTCGTACGCAACATTTTGTATCGAAATGGTACATCATGAAAAACTGTGTGACTTCGCTTTAGTTCGACGCAAGCATGGAGGCTGTGGCCCAATACCGCAGTGTGTGCAATAAGATGACCACCTGAAAAAAATAAGACTTCCATACAATTGGCTTTTTATTTTTTATTTAGAATAATTTTTGTTTGTTAAGTTCGTAAACGGAGAATATGTAGTTCTTCAGGGAAAATTTAATGGCATGGAATTTAATGAGAGTCTCTCTAATATGAAGATCTAGTTATATTTAGATTAGTAAAACTGAAATTTTCTGGGCTCATACCACGGAAATATTAAAAATTTTAGCCGGCGGAAATTGTGCTATTCAAATTATGTTTTTAGGCCGGAAGCATGCGCATCTCACATATTTAAGTGTTCAACAAGAGACATCAAAAGGCATCCAATACTCGTTCGTAGTACAGTATTTCAACACGTCTAAAGCTTTTCCGTCTGCGTTTCACTACATCAAGGTGGTCATAACGGTGCAGCGTAGTTTGACTGGCAGGCCGATTGCCGTTGTGATATAAAGATCTAGTACTCCGTTACCCAGTTAGTGAATACAGTCGCTCCGAATTTAATGGTGGAGTGTGTCAAGCTCCGTGCAGTGCTGAAGCGAGAAAGTTTTTAGAGATCACTGTTTACTTTCGAGCACAGGTCATTGATTCTATTGCCTGACGTCAATATCATAGAATAGCGTATGCTGGAAATTCCCTCTGTCCTCGAAACATTACGGATGATTGCCTGATCGCTCAGAAAGTTCATGAATAGTGCATGGATTACTCGATGTTTCTAGTGAATTTGTATGATTGATTGTGCCAAAGGTTTTTGACAAGTTGAACGCTACGAGAAGTTAGTATTCCAGCTGAAGATAGACTTGTGTCCGCTATGATGTGATAAGTGTTCGATATACTAACTGTGGACAGATCCTTCCCGACCTGATCTCTCCAACGSAGTTGAGGCCGTCTTCCTCCTCTGCTTCCGCCCTCGGGTACTGCGTCGAATACTCGCAGAGCTGGAGAATAGAAGACATCTTTGGTCACAACCTTCTTCCTTTCCGCCGTAGGGTTGGCACAAATCAGSGACATTTTGAAGATTTGCTTTGATGTGAATTGTAGCTAGATGAACGCCATCCACTCGGGTAAATGCCAGTACACGGCGACGGAGTCCCCGAGCCACCCAGAGGATAATTGATCCGGAAGTCGTGAGCTACTTGAGGTATTTGTAAAAGAATGGTGGCGCACAGAGAACTTGCGTGAACTCCTGCGCATGGCTCCATCCTCCATCATTTATACAGTTACTCTGACATTATATTCTGGGTGTTACAAACAACCTCCACGTTGGGACTGCACCAATTTGTACCATTCATGAAAATTTCTTGTGGTCACCTTATCCAATGAAAAGCCAGCCACATTGCAATTCAAATGTATGCCGATTCTAACTTATGTTTTCCCATTTATTCACCATTTTTGTTTTATTCGTTTTATGTTCAGCTGTCGATGTTTAAGCGAGCATGAGCTTGTTCTTGCATTAAATTGATCTCTCAATTGCCACACAAATATTGTTCAATAAAATTTGTCATACACATACACCTGCAACAACAACAAACACACACATTTATCTGCAATTGTACCTGCCACAATGAGTAGACTGACAACAACTGCCATACACAAAATCACCAATCTGGCAACACTGTTGCGCCCAAATCGCTGTAGTAACATATTAAATATGTTTGACAATTAACAATATGTTGCATACAACTACTATAGCAACAACAACATGTGAACTATCCAAAATTATATTTAAATGGCACATCTGCATTTATGTTTGTGTTGTTGTTTGTGGGCTAAGCCTTTCGCAGCCAAATTTACTGCCAACAAAAGCCACAACTTATTGTTTGTGTCAATATTTTCTCCGATATTGTCATCAATATTTTATTATGCTAAATTTACCGAGAAATATGTCCCATTTCGCTTCTTGTAACCGAGCAAATCATCATGATCGGGCGCCTCAGAGATTTGCATGTACCGAGAGTATTACGAGTGTCCTAACGACCGTATCTATTCGTGTTTCTAGCAACCTGGTTTCATTTTTGTTAGCTGGTTAGCTTGGTATGAGTATTATTGTCAATTGATTTGGTGGAATATGTTTACTTTCACTTCCACCGAAATCACCACGTTGGATAGTGAAGGATTTTTTACATTTCATTTGTTGTAACTGAACCACATTTCTTTTTGGAACGGTCGATTGTGGGTTGACTTCTCRGTTACAACCAAAAAGAAAAAGAGAATATTGCGCTGTTTTTTATGCTTGAATCATGTGGTTGATTTATACGGACGACTGAGGGAGAGAAATAGAGAGACAGATAGAAAGGGCGAGGGATATGGAGATAGATATAGATAAAAACGGACTGCTAGGGAGTGACTGATGTACATAGAATGTTATGTTATTATGTTATGATCACAATTTCTCCAGTCCTCGAAACACCTTTCATAAGCCACCCAAATCATTCGAACGGATTCGCGAGAGATGTCCAGCTTTTTTACTATCTCTTACCTTTTTAATATTTTTATTAGTTGAAGCGGTCGAAGGTCGTTCAGAACGAGGCATGTCTTCAACGACCTCTCGACCACCTTTGAAGGCTTTGTACCACTCGTTGACTTAAGTTTTTAATAAAACTGAATCACCGTAAGCTTTTTCCAATATTCGCAACGATTTCGCACACGAAATTCGGTWAGRAATACAAAATTTGAGACAAAAGCTTTKTTCGATATTTTTATTCAATTARTACAATCRCAATGCACTACTGAGGTGAACCACTTTACTTAACCTGGTTATCGAGCTAAACAGGACCTGCCGTAACGTAAAATCGACATATAATCGTTAGACTCGAGGCCACCCGAGTTGTCGTTTACTTGCMACAATGAAAAATTGCGTTTCTCAACGCTTTGGAGCAGGTGAAGTCGTACTGAAGCACTGGCAAGAAGTTTAGTTCTCTTGTTTTATTGTTATTGTTGCTACCACCGTTGCATAAACCATACAAATATTCTCGTTCTCTAATGCCGCCGCGCAATCAGCGTGGATATTTAGCAGCTAACTTAGCTAATATTTCTGAGTATTTATGCTTTTACTGTGACGGCGCATAAATRCTTTCAGAAATTCTGTGTTTTGTTTTCAGTTTTATTATTTTTTCATTTATGTTACTTAGGATGCACGTCAACCTAAAAATGTTGGCCACTTCATGCCTTTGACCAAGTAATAATTGCATAGAATAAATGTTACCAAAGTAATAAGAAAAAAACGTTTAATATCAGGGGCACTCGGTTGTGGCAACGTGACCCCATAAAGTCTGCAGAAATCTAAGCAAGTTCCACTACCTAAACTGTTTCTGCCTCAATATTTTCTCTATAAAATGTTCACCCCAGCGTAAGGACAGGATAGCATTCGCAGAAAATGTACTTTATGTAGTAAAGTACTTTTGACAGAACTTGTTGTAGATGCTGATTATCTGTGGATGTCAGGTAACAGTCTGTGGGTCCACCGTGCTTTGAGTGAGGTTTGCCACCCCGACGTCATATTGTCACGCTTTTGACACTCTCTTCTCTTTTGGCTCCTATAAGACGACTCAGATAACTTGTATATTCGCTCGTATTAGTCACCCTGGATGTCAATGGGCATCATACTGGATATTACTTCAGCAGTAWCGCTTGATATTGTACGAAAAACACTGATAACTTTTAGTGCCGACATGTGCATTGAGCTCATTTGTCTGGCGTATGCTTTAATGACTAGCCCCTGGGTCCATATTAGAGCCGCATATAATACAACCGATCTTATTACCTTTGCACAGCCTTTTTTGCCATCATTCTTGATAAGGCGTTTAGGATTTTATTCGCTTTACCTGCAGTGTATTACAGATGATACTTAAATTTAAGCCTTGAGTCTATTATTACTCCCAGATACTTTAGTTGTAGCTGTGAATGAATCTTAGACTCCCATATGGGGAGAGATGTACTTTCCTCTTCTTTTCTAGTACTTATGAGCAAGACTTCCGTCTTTTGCTCAGACTGTGCTGAACTCATTGAGTTAATGCACTCATTGCATTTGCTCCGAAAGTCATCTCGGTGTTTAGCTAGTGCTAAAACAATAAGATCGTCTGCAAGTAATTTAACGGCATTTTGGTTGGTGTTTCCTGAGCACCCTATCGTACTATGGGTTCCATGGTAGGGGCCTACAACCGAGCCTTGCGTTACTGCTCTCAAAATAAGGTAGCACTTGGTGCCTTCGTCAGTATCGAATAATACATAGGGTCGCCTGTTTTAAAAATAACTCAACAGTTTTCATAAGATATGTATTTAGGAGCGTGTTTTAATAAACAGCCTTGGTTATGTGTGGCCACTTTGCTGAGTTGAAGGCATACTTCACATTCAGAGTGATTAGCGCGCGTTATTTTTTTATGTCTATTTTTTTATTATTATTTTGCCACTTTTAATTTAATATTAATTAATGTTGGCC